AATGAAATGACTAAAACTCCAAAAACATTCACCCATCCATTCAAATAATTGAATTCAGATGTCACAGTAACTTCTCTGACCATAAGTTTATAAAATCCAGCACCATTTTTTACGACTGAGCATCACATATGCAACTGTTAGTAGTTTGGTGACGAAGAAAGGATGAACAAAAACAACTCAGCTGCATGAATAATCTCAAACTGAGATGAACACATATTGATGCAAAGAGTTTAGACATGCATCAACTTTCTGCAGAGAGATTGGTCAGAGACCTACAAATATCAGGTTGCTTTTAAATATTTTTGTGGAGTACATAATTTGTTGCTGTTGAAGCACAAAATGCAATATTTGCAATATTTGCAGTGCAATATTTGTTGTCTTGCTGCTATTCCAGGAGTCTTTATCAGAAAAGGCACACAGAGAGCGACAAACAACTTCTGAACAACTAAAGCAGTATGGGATTTATCTTGGTTCCTGGCTCCTCTCCACCGGCTTAGCTGTTGGCTGTGGAGCTAGCATCTTTTATCTCTGCCAATACGAAAACAAGGTACGTAAGAGTGCTCTTATTGGATGCTCTTATGGTGATCGAAATCCAATAACAGAGAACTGTTATTTCCTGGACTGACTCTCAAAGCAACAGTTACAGCATCTAGTCAGCCTGTGCCATTACCCTAAGTTGTGTTTTATGTCTTTTGTCAGGAGAGATGCGTAGACTTAGTCTCATAAACAATGTTTATCTCTGAGGATTGTCTCTTTGTTTTCTTTACAGCGGGCTGAAGACACCGAAACCTGGTCCGCACTGAAGGAAGCAGAGACACTCCTGGTTCCCTTTGTGGTGTCTTTGATGAATATGGTCATTCCCCTCTTCTTCTCCCTCTTCAACAAGTTTGAGCAGTACTCCAGCCAGGGCAAACAGATTTATGCCCTGTTGTTCAGGTGAGGTGTCAGGGGTGCATATGTCCTAAAGTTTTTAGGACAGTAGAACAAAATGAACCTATGTTTCTAGATTTGTTCTTCAGTTGTAAGTTGTGGCTTGAATCTTTCTAAGATATTTCCATTAGCAATTGTACCATGACAATTACTCTGATGCTGCATTGAATAAACCTTGATTTTGTTCAAGTGTTTAAAAGAAAGGTTCAGGTCTGATATATTGTTTAATTAACTTTCTCTATCACCAGACAATAACTTGTTTGTCTTTTTTTTCATTCTTAGAAATGTGTTACTCAGGATATCCATTTTGGGTGTTTTGTGCTATTACTGGATGAATACAGTGTCTCAGAAATTCACAGTATGTATTTGTTAACATCCCTTCCTGCTTGTTTTTTTTATTTTTTTAAATCATAAATCATTGTGCGTTTATTCATTCAAAAACTTGTTTTCTCTCAGTGCTGGGAGCCCATGGTTGGACAGGCTTTGTACCGTTTGGTCATTATCGATTTCATTTTTCTGATCCTTGGATCCTTATTTGGAGAGTTTCTCAGCAAGTGAGTAGCAGATTTTTCCATTTACGTTACCGTCACTGAAGCATGGAGGATTATTCTTTAATGATAGCTACATTATACATTTTCTTGTAACAGTGTGATTGGGACCAAGATACAACCACGTTTAGGAGTGCCAGAGTTCGACGTAGCCAGAAATGTCCTGGAAATCATTTATGCTCAGACTCTGGCCTGGTAAAAACATACGGGGCAGTTTTTATTTTCATTCTTTGGATGATTATAGGAGATAGTTCAGTAAGAGTTTTTCTCTTATTAGGATTGGAATCTACTTCTCTCCTCTGTTACCTGTGATCCAGATTCTCAAGTTCTTCATCTTGTTTTACTTGAAAAAGGTAAGTAATGGTTTAAAACCTGCTATATATCACAATGACACCTGGATAGAAAAGGCAGATAGAATGACACTTCTAACGAAGCCGCACTATTCACCCGTCAGGGTCTCATGTTACTCTTTGTTCATTTCTGTCAATAATTAATTTAAATCCTTTCATTGCTATATTAAAAAGATTTCATTTTTGTTTTTATGCAACTGGGCGCTCTGGTTTCTCAATTATGAGGATAATCAATTGGTCTTTGTTTGATTTACGAGGCAACTCTGGGTAGATCTATTGTTAAACGCTTAATGAACAAACACAGTGGCCTCTAATATCATGCTTTTCAAGTTCAAAACTTTTCTATTCTGTGAAATATAGATGCAATGCTTAGGCTTTAATTGAGTGAAGATATGACTCACTCTCCAGGGCTGCATGACCGAGGGACCAGCATGTCTTCTCCAAGCAACTTTTCCATTTTGAATTGTATGATCTATTGTACATTTTGTAGGTAGAATTACACCTGCTTGTTGTTTTTCTTGCTGTTGTATTCATGTGTTTGTCACCAACTCTCCAATGGGAGTTGGCTAATGTTCATCAATATGTGCTTCCACTCCTCCTTTAGGTCAGTTTGACTCACAACTGCCAGCCTCCACGGCGTTCAGGCAGGGCGGCTCAGATGAAAACCATCTTCATCTTTCTCCTCTTCTTTCCTTTCTTTGTGGGAGCCCTGTCTATCGTTGCGTACATCTCCTGGAGGTAAATGAGCATGACTTTCACAGCCGCGAAGCCGTGTTATGGCTCGATGTTGTGTCATATATGATGATGTCCTATTTCCCACCACAGCCTGACCCCTTCGGAGCAGTGTGGCCCTTTCCGGGGCCTCAACAGCACGTTCAGTGTGACTGGAGAGTGGATCGATGACGTGAACAATAATAGTTCTAGTACTAAGTGGGTTGGGTGGATCTACCAAAATGTCATCAGGAGTGAAATTTTCTACATTCTTAGCACAATCATCATTCTGTAAGCATCCGTCTGTGTATGTTTTATTAATTGAGTCTTAAAACGTTCTTGTCATTGGTTACCTTTTCGCCATATTTTATGTAACAGACCAACTGAAGAAAGAGCATAATAGTTTTATTTAGATCTATCAAGGCACAGCTGGTATCACTGTTGCCTTGCAGTAAAGCGGTCGTGGGTTCAAATCCTGGCTCAGGGTCTTTCTGCATGTTGTTCCTTTGCATAGATTCTTGCTAGGATGTTCCTGGATCCTGCGACTGTGCAAGACCAATACATAAATTGATGTATTTTATTTCACTGTGGCAGTAAAACACTGTCACATAGAGTCTGATTAAAATATAAAACCATTAATGGTCATAAAGTGATTAAATGTGGAAAAGTTTATGGATTAGGGTTGCTGTTGCGAGGGACTCTAAATGCAGAGTGCATTGTTCATTAATTTGTGCAATAGTTCTCAAAGTGTGAACAATCCTTGTCATGTTTCTGTGTCCCAGTGTCATCATATACATCTTCTGGCAGCTCATTCAGGGCCGAAAGGAGCTCATTGTTCTTCTGAGAAAGCAGATTATCAATGTAGGTTCAAATTGTCCACCTGAATGAATGTTTGACTTATACTGATTTCATTTTGCTTTTTTTTTTCTTTTCTTTTTGTCCAGTTCATATATCATATATATTTTGTGCTGATTTTACAAACATGTCTGATTTTTTTTCTACATATTTTTTACTCATCAGGAGGGGAAAGACAAGTCCTTCCTGTTAGAAAGGCTGCAGAAGCTGCAAAAATCCTGTCCGAAAGTTGACAAAAAACCCAAAAAACGGACAACTGTATGCTTTGCACGTTTCTATTCAAAACAGATTTGTCTCCAGTTTTTTTTTTTTTTGTACTTTACTTAATGTCTTGTTGTTCTTCAGCACACAAGTCGACGTTCAGCTGAGCGCTCCTCTGGAAGTCAGTCCAACTCAAACGCAGTGGTCCAGGTTCTACTCGCTCGCCAGCAGCTGGAAGAACAGGAGAGACGCAGTGCCAGTGGCGTTTCAGTCCCGTCTGACATTTCCAGCTCCGACGCCGTGATGCAGGCCATGCTGGCCCGCCAGAAAGTTGAGAGAGAAGATGAAAACGTCTACGAATTCACCGATGGACACCCTCCTTCCCTCGATGCGGTGGCGCAGAGCCAGGCAGCCAGACAGAGGGCTGAAGAGACTGATGGATACTGGAGCACGACCCACTTTAACCGAAGTAACCCAGTTAACAGTTCCATTATCCAAGTCAGACAAAGTGCTGAAAGGGACAGAGAAGATGATTCACCTGATGCTTCATCCCCCGTATCAAGTGTAATGATTCAAGTCATGCAAGCCAGGCAGAAAGCAGAGGAAGAGGAAAGGAATCAGAGGATCCGACCTCCGGGGCAAAACCCGGCTGCTCCCGGCTCCAGCGCTCTCATCCAGGCCATGTTGGCCCGGCAACAGGCCCAGAATGAATATGATGATGGTTATTGACCAAAAGCCTCAGACTTCAACGGAAAACATTATCGCATATTGTGCTATGAATCATTTCCATATTTCTCTCGACTGAAATGTATTTAATTCAGCTGGAAAGGGAGAGATACTGCAATTAGAGAATAAGAGCTGCAGGGGCACCTCTTTATACGAGTATATGTCGGTTCTAGTGTGTTGTCCATGAATGTGCATAGAGGTATAGAAATGAACATTGAGGTTTATCATGTGCCATTTTAAGTGCAATCTTTAAAAAAGAGAAACAAATATTAACTTCTTGTATTAATGTTGGTTATCTAGAACTGTTACCACTTAGAAAATAAAACAAGTTATGTTTTGCATGGACAAAACACTATTTAAATTAATTTATCTTAATTATCATCTTTGTACTGTTGAGCATTTTATTTCTGGCTAGTGTGTATGTAGATATTTTTAACTATGTTAAATAATATTTCATTGCACATCCTGTTAATTGTTTTACTTGCTCTATATTTATAATATCAATCAATGTTTTAAAAGAATAAATGAAAAGATTCTGGAGATGGAGCAGCTTGTTCTTTTTTTTAATTCACAAGAATTTTAGAAAGTTCTGAAAAAGTGAAAGTGCAATAGTTTAAACTATTATAGAAAATTATTTTTTTTAAAGTAATGATTAACAAAATAAAATGTGAAGCTCGTTCTATAAAACCTGCTTTTTTCAGAGATGTGGTTTAGCTTTTAGATCTGTTATATCTTTGCTTTCAACACTGCAGAAAAACCCTTATGATTTAGAGTTCACCACATTGAAAACCCAGTTAGTTTGTTCTGGTCTTTCAATCTGATCCATTCCAGGGCCGTGAGAAACCGGAAGACACTCACTCCAGTTGTATGGGTGAACTCAACATTTCTTTATATGTTACAATATAATCAGTTTCACAAAAAAGAAAAAGAAAATACATGTATATTCATGGATCTCAGGAGTTGTCCGTTTTTTCCCCAGTTTATTTCCAAGTGTGACTTGAAGCTGCCTGATCTGCTTCAGTTAAGGCAGTGTTGAACAAAAATAACATATCAGCATTGTTCCTCCCCAAGAGATCCTGCGAGGTCGACAAAGTCTAACGAGGTGGCAGGTATAGGAGTCCTCCTGCCGCTTTTTAGGGACTGACTGGAGTAAACGTCCACAGATTTAGAGATGGAGTGCAAGGAGTTGTTCCGGTAGTATCCGTACGCCTCGCGTGCGTTTTCCTCCCTGATGGTCTGCTCAAAAGTCTTGCGCTTGTGTCTGAACTCGATGACGGTCTTTGTGTAGGAGTTGAGGGTGGTGACTGATGCGCCCATACAGCATGTGAAAGATGCCCATGCCAAGCTGATGAAAAAAACAGGAAGAGAGTTTGTTTTGTGAAAAATTAGGTGTTTTTATTCTGCTGTGTCAGAACTTAAATTTACAAGAAAGAAAACCAGTATATACTATACTCTCTCTACACTTATAGGAATCACAAAAAAGTGCAGCAAAAACACAATTTAGTAGCCAGAAAGCTTGTGGCTGTATTTTACAGAGGTGATGTCCTGTCATGGCACTACACTGGAATTCAGTAAGCTTTGGAAAGTGATCCTTTGACTAATCCTTTGACTGCTCTTTTTGTTCCCAAAAACACAAGCACTTACAGATCATGACAAATTGGAAATGACATAAAACAGCAAAAGTTCAGTCTGATTCAAAGCCAGAAAGTGAGGGGGGGGGGAGTGTCTTTTTATACAGCATTATGTAAATGTCTGTTTGCAACTGCATTAAACACATACTGTCTATAATGCAAAGCAGAAGACTTATTATCCTGTCACATAATTGCGGTCACGTCTGCAGTGCAGCCTTAGATACCAAAGCTCAATCCTGCCTTAATCCTACCAAAGCTTAATCCTGCAATACCTCTAATGCAAACAATAACGCTAGAGAAAGGTACAGATTTACTTCCTGTAAACTTAGATTGCAGAAACCTTGAACTAAAAAACTTGTTATCTGGTGTGGATCTGCAGCATCTTACCAGAAAGACCACCCATAATCCCAGTTGTAGGGTCTCCAGTCAGGTGGACCATGGCTGACAGTGACCTGGAAGACCTGCGTGTACATCACATGAGCCACCATGCCAAGAAGACCTGAGATCAAATATGTAGTAGAGCCACTGTCACATCATCTGGTTTATGTCACAGTCAAAAAAGGTACAGAACTTCTCAGACACGGGATGATTTGTGTCCATAAATGCATTTGGATACTTAAATGTAGAGTTTTACATATTAATTTATCTTAAACAAGCTGAAAGTACCTGAGAGCACCGTGAACACAGCAGCAAAGGCGTTGAGCTTGAGCCCATCAATTACGTTGCTGGAATGGACCAGCTCCATGCACATGAGGCTGAAGCCCACCATCAGCAGCAAAATGTACAACATCTCAGAAACCACAGAAAGCCACAGCATTCCTGTGAAAAACATGTCATTACCAAGAACAATTCAGTAAAATAATCATGATTAGAACTCTTAAAAAAAAGAAAAACATTAAAATTAACACCGAACCTCAACCAATTTCTAGGTTGTAGAGGTTGAGTCTTTTTTCAGCCATATGAAGAATCTGGAAAATACAATCAGCTTTTGGACAACATATGAAGATCAAAATATAATGTCAGACTGCTCATGATTTAATGCTAAGCATATTACTCTGGTAAAGGAAGGAAATATGTTAAATATCCCCAAATCCAGTGAACTCACCATTATTTAAAACAGAGTCTGCCCAAAGCCATATGATTATGTTCAGGGCCTCCAAACTATCAGGAGCCTCCAAGAAATACTGGATCTTTAGCAAAGACGATAGATTAAAATTTTTAGATGTTCGCATGTTGAGACTAAGAATATCATTAAATATGATTGCAGCAGGTATCTATCTATCTATCTATCTATCTATCTATCTATCTATCTATCTATCTATCTATCTATCTATCTATCTATCTATCTATCTATCTATCTATATATCTATCTATCTATCTATCTATCTATCTATCTATCTATCTATCTATCTATCTATCTATCTATCTATCTATCTATCTATCTATCTATCTATCTATCTATCTATCTATCTATATATATATATATATATATATATAGTATATATACTCTATTTATATCCTCTAGGCTAACTAGGCTTTTAGACATATAGCACAAATCCTCCCAGCACAATTCAGTAGTGTCAATAGCATCCCCTAGTGTCCATAGGGGAGAATGCTTACCTCGCTCTAAAGTATCACGTGACTATATTGAGTTTTTATGTCAGACGAGATAATTTTTTGGCTCAAGGACAGTTTGATAAAAACTTTATGTGTATGCAATATTTTGGTAGGAAATTACCTCATTATATTGGCAAATATTATAACTTTTTCGACAGAGATAATCCTTAAAGTTTGAGCGGGTTTGAGACAACTCCGATTCTGTTTTACTTAAAGGTTAAGAGATCACAAACTGGCTTAAGGCTCAGATTTTATTGATATGAACCTTCTGAACTGTTCAGCGCCTTCTTCTATCTTCATATATTGAGAAAAAATTATTGTCTTTAAATTCTTATTTTACCAGAAAATTTTGCCACACACATTTTCACTCTGAGCCAAAGCCACTTGACATTATGAGATAAATAGGAATAAAAGAAGAAGCAAAAACAATTATGCCATTTTTACAGGACATTTCATTTAATTTTTAGTATTTTGCCTTCCAGTTTGAACCATAATCTATAAGACTTGGAGCATTACAGTTACAATGAAAGTCCAAATTTAACTGGGAATTATAAAGCCAACTTATCTCTGTTCCAGGAAGAAAACTATGGGAAAACTAGTGGGATTTATTCTGTGCTCATTGTCTAAGCTCATTATACAATATAGGTCTTTAGTAACTATTGCTAGTTGGTGCAAAGTGTGCGAAGCAAAGAAGTTCATGCAAAATGCTCTCTTCATTTAATATTTCAGATAAAAAGAAAATCACCAGCCAAGAAAACTTGAGTAAATACAAAAAGCTACAGAAGCTTATAAATTCTGATTTCATTTCGTTCCTTGGTAAAAACACCTGAAGCAAAACGTACGAGCTTCATGTGAAAAAGTCAGGAGGGCTTTTGATCATAAATGGTCTGTTTAAGATCCAGCCACAGATCCTCAGTCAGATTCTGAGCTTGACATTAAGGCCAAAAGTTGATGGTCGGACATCAAGTTATGATATTGTTTGATATGAGAGAGTTTTTCAGAATACATCACATGAGTTTAACTTTTGTGTTTATTTTGGTCAGATAGCTTACGTCTTTCCAACCCCCAGCCTCTTTCATGTGGTTTAAACACAAACTATAGCCACTCTAACCAAGGCAAGTGTCGACTGCAGAGCCTTAAATGATGTTCTGTGTTCTTGGACGAGTCGTCCAGGAACTGAAACAGAGTTAATCTGGTAGGCAAACCACTCCTTCACCATCGTTCCAGGTTTTCCTCCTTTGGTGACAATAATGAGCAGCATTATTATTACTGGAGTCTCCAAACCTTCTTACAGACTAATACATCTGCAGGTCTGAGAGTGATCAAGTCTGAATGAAACTAAACCCCCAAAATTTAGTTGAAAACAGTTAATTTATTGTCTTTTCTCACACACAGAGCTAGATTGGTTTGGTTAGTGTTTGTCATTAATTAAAATCATCACTTTGACAACTGCGCTTTGATTTTGCTCAGGTTATTTTTGTCTGATATTCAACTGTGTTCGATGATCTGAAGCATTTAAGTGCAATGAAAAGCAGCAAAGACAGAAAGTACTTTTTATAGCGTAAGAAGATAGTCACCTTTCTCTGATGCAGGAGCTAAATCGATGAAACTTCGGCATCTTTCACCTTCAAGGCAGAAAGAGAAACGAATTGTAATGATGGCACTGTGTGTCACACAAACATTTTCACAGTGGAGATTCAATAAATGACAAAATTAAAAGAAAACCACCTCAAGATCACAAACAAAAGCATTGCAGATATTAGTCAAGCCTTTAATGCCCCTTCGACTCCTGGTTTCAGTCCAGGTCACTGAGAGTGTGACCTGGTAAATTGTTAAGTAAAAAAAAAAAAATCACAGTTCATAAGTTCAAGAAGGAATAAACTCCACGTGGAAGATAAGACATATGACAGAGACGGTCCTTTTCTGACCTCCCATTCAGTGTCACCAGATGGTGTGCTGGCAGAGCTGCTCAATCTGGTCCAGAAAAGTACAGGCAGCGTAAAACCAATCACAGATGTTCAAAACTGTGACATCCCGGAGGCAGTTCAACAAACAGGATAGAAAAAGGACCTCTGACACCACGGATTTCTGCACGTATTTCTGAGCAGATTCCTTCTGTCTTCAATCAGGCGTCGCATGTCGCTGGATTTGTTGTAAGTGGAACTGTTTAATCAGGTGGGCGGCAACAGCTGTTTTGAGGAAAAACTCATCAAGGCCCCCAGTTACATAATCCTCATTAACTTGAGCTGCTGGGATGAAAACATGTCTGCAAGGACATGAAACAGCTCCACTCTGGCCAGACATCGAAAGGTCTCGCTCTTTCAGAATTATTTTCTAGCTGTCAAATAGGTTTGCTTTACGTTTCTATAAAAAGTAAGCTTAACTAATTAAATGAATGAAACTTACATGCGCAACTTCAGGCCAAAACACTTTCAGTGTTTTAAGTGGTAAAATGCTGGCGGTTGCTTTGGCCAGGAATTTAAAGTGAAATGCAACTTGTCAAAATATAATGTTGTAATTTATTGTCAAATTAACAGAATTTAATACGGTTGATAAAACCTGCTATGATAAAAATTATTTATCATACCAGGGTTTATCTTTTTTCTGTCCAATAACAATAGATTACTGGAAAAATGACAAAATTATAAATGTTTTTTTTTATAGCAGATAACCATAAAAAGCTACAGGCAATGTTATTTTTTTACAATACATTGCAATATTTTTTCCTCCTGTGACTTTCTGTGAAAAGGTATTTTTTTTCTACAGTGCAGCTAAAATGAACAAACCAATAAACAATTTGTCTTGGACGGATTCCCCCTGTTTTGCATTTCCAGCAACCTCAGCTGACAGTATTTTACCATAATTTTAACTTTTTAAAATTTTCTGCAGTGTCTCGGATATCATAAAAGCACTACTATAGGTTTGGTCGACAACTACATAGAAGACAATACCTTTAGCTAACACCTTTTTCAAAATCTAATAAAATAAATTGCACTTATAGAGTGAAAAAATCAGATGAGTGCAAAAAGCAAAACAAACTTAATTAGTACAGATGGGCTCAAGGGGTTTACATTTTTAGAAAGCATGTGATGTCTTTAAAAACAATATGGTGCGAAAATAATGTAATTGTGACGCTAAAATAGCAATAAATAAATAAATAAATACAGGATTTTATAGAACTTAAAAAGAGCTCAAAATTTTTAAAATGAAGGCCTAATTAAAACACTGGATTTTCAGACAGGCTTTTAAATTCTGAAAAGTACTCAACAAGAACTTTAGATAAAAAAAACAAGCTCCATATGAAATAAATAAAGAAATTAAATAAATAAATAACTAAATAAATAAAGTTATGACATGATACAAATGAAGATGCGATATAATGCATTCTCAGATACTTTTCATCTTCCCAGAATCCAACTCAGATTTCTTTATCCACGTCCACACAGCCCCACGCGCACAGACCTGCTCTTACTTTCATCGTGGATGTTCTCCTCGCACGAGTACCAAAGGCCGGTGTGAAACTGCCGGAACAGGAACCTGTCGTCCCCGGTCTCCCAGCTGTACACCACCTTGTTGGGGTCCGTTTCGTTCACTCCGTAGTCGATGCACTGGTGCGTCCGCAGCTTGCTGCATTTGGGCTTGGGCACCCGCTGCGTCCCCACGCACCAGTAAGTGGTGATGAAGGCAGTGACGGCGAAGAACAGGGCGAAGAAGTTCAGGCCCACCGACAGGAGGGTCCTCGTCTTCATTGTCCGCGTGAGGGATGCACGAGCCTCGGCAGCGGGGTCAGCGGCGCGCGCAGGACCCAGGGGTTCATGGGTGCGAGGCGGGAGAGACGCGCGAGCGCACCAGGTGGAAAGACGGTCCCATTTGGACACCCGACAAGTTGCCAAATGCCGTCCACGGACAGGCTACGTCTCCAGCGAGGCGCTCAGACAGGAGACAAAGTGATTCATTTCCACCTAATTCACCACGAGCGCGCGCAGACGTCACGTTGTCAGAGGATTTGATGCTCGTTTGCATCAGTGTGGGATTTTCTCCTCGTGCTCTCCTCTGGCTGCCGCTGTCATTAGGACCTTCCTCTCCCTCAATCCGTCACAAACTGCTCGCCAAATGCAGGCGATTATCAGAGCGAGAATAGATGCAACCACCAAGACATGGTTCCCATTTTTATTTTATTTTATAACAGGAGTCATCATGTTTTTTTTTTGTTTTTGTTTTTACCATTTTATCAACTTCATTACTGTTTTTTTTCCTGATCTCAAAGCAGAAATGTTAAATGGGTTTTTTGCAAAGCCACCTTTTGACACTGTAAGACTTTTGGGCTCCAGCTATATTTATGCTCTACTGATTTTCTCCCCTATTCCTTTTCCCAAAAAAAGTTCAAGCTGAGTCGTATTAGAAAGTCTTGCTACTGATTCCCAAATCAGTCTGGGTAGGTCTGGGCTTTGACTGGGCCACCTTGACACGTCAATATACTTCGTTTCTAAACATTTTTGCTGCAGCTACAAGGTCGATGTCATTGTCCTGTTGGATGGTGAACCTTCTCCAAAGGCGCAGTTTTTTGTTGTTGTTGTTGTTTTTGAACATGTTTTGTTTCCTGGGCTACCATGTGAAGAGCCATTCATTGTCCCATCGATTTGGACCAACCTCCCTTGTCATTCTTTGACAAGTATTCGCACAGCATGATGGTGCTACTACTTCAAGTTTGACATGAAGTGAAACGGTGAAGTGAAACTGATAACAGATCTGAAGCCACGAACCAGTTTAAAATGAAACAGGAATTGCATCCACTTTGGTCTCTTTTCACAAAAGTCGGAGGTGTCTGGTTTGCATGATTCAACGTGTCCAGACTGGCTTGGATAGATTTGTTATCATAGCAAATAAAAATCATTACTTGAAAACAGATTTTTTGCCTTCACCCTTATTAATCTTCTTAATCATTGTCATACATAAACATTTACTTGATAAGATGAAGTTTTAATGTGAGAGAGAGAAAAAAAGAAGCAAAAACAGAATAAATTGTAATGGGAAAAAAAAACTTTCTCATGAATGTTGGAGATATGTCATTTTTGTCTTTACTTTAAAAAAAAAAATAAAAATAAAGCAGATAAAACGTGTAGCGTCTTACTGGTGGAGTCATCCATCCAGTTCTTTCAAAGTGCATGTAATCATGAGCACAATAGTCGGTGGTAATTAATCCCAGGGCAGATGTGTGTTTGCCTATAGATAACATCAGCCTAATCCCAAACTGACAAGAGTGAAGGGAAATTAGAATCCGACCAGAGAAAGACAGACCAGGACAGAGAGAGAAGATAAGGGAGGAGAAAGGCTTAAGGGAAATGAATCTGAAGCAGGTATTCACTGAGAATTAAAATATAACACTCAGCAAGACCAAATTAAAAATGCTACACTTTGACTTTTTAGTGATTCCCGGTCGCACAGTGTCCAAGAGTGTGCGTAAGCAGTCCGCTCTCATGACTCTGCGGCATTAACTAAACCTATTAAAATCCTTGCACACTAATTATTTTCAAATCCCCCACAGAAAGCGTTTAAACGTCTTTCCTCCTTGAACTGCGTTTCATTTCTGCGTATTTTCGGAGAACCTGACCTGCAGGCTGACCTGAAGGAGACATGCTGGTTTTCAGCGTGAGGTCTGCTGCAGCAAAAGGTGAAGATAGAAATCATTTGAGCCGGTGTATTTAACCCCAATACAAACTGGGTCGTCAGACAGGTTGAACATGTGAGTTACCTCAGCGGTATGCCAACTTCTTTAACCCCAGAGGCTAATTCTTGTTCCAACGCCTCGATGAAAACTCATAAATCAGGTCAGCTGAGGCGCTGCAAATTCTGAAGAACGAGCCACTGGTGATACTGACAGTATTTAAGAATTTTACTCATGCACTCCCATGAGTATAAATCGACTAATCAGCATTACATTAGTCAAGCCTTTCAGACCAGCGATAAATGTCACCAAATAAATACAGTGACACCTAAAATTAGTCACACCAGCAGATTTTTTTTCCATTTAGGCATTATGTTTAATTCTGAATGGAAATGACATATCTTCCAAAGGATAATAAGACAACACGAGAATATTATTTTAGAAAAATAATAATAAATAGGCACTACATTAGTCAAGCCTTTCAGACAATTGCAGATCAACTTCTTGCATGTTTCCACAAGTATTTTTGACTGTTTATCTTCAGTGACACCCTGCAGGCCATTACGGCCTCCTTGTCGCCACTCTGATCTTTAGCTTCCTTCACAATTTGTCTTTCGCGTTTAAGTTGGGACAGTGTCTGGAAACATGTTTGTGAAAGTAAGAGACAACTTTCAGCCTAAATTTGACGGGGTTATGATTAACTTCTGTTAACCCTTACAAAAATCCCTCAATTGAAAATTGTCTTCTGTAATTGTCTGCAAAAATATCTTCACCTCTTGGAAAACAAAAATCTGAAAACTGACAAAAATATTAAAGGGTAATTTAGTTTTTTTTTTTTTAAGTGTTTTAAATGGGACTCAATAACACAAAACTTGCAAATCAGACAGAGATTTCTTTATTAATTATTTATTTAGCTATTTTAAAGATTTTACTTTAAAATTTTCAGCGAGCACTCCATGTGGATCTACTGCATAACAAAAGAATAAATATGAGGGAAAGAGCCTCAGGCTCACTCTAGGCATGGTGTGGGACCTGTGATGCTCTGGGTCTCTATCAACGAGCCTGGAAGGCTTATTAGTGGTGATGATGTCATAAACTCTTTGAAATATGGAGAGATTTTAAATAAAAACCTGCTGATCTCTCCCAGTAAACTTAAATAGGTCGTCATTAGGTCTTTCAGTGGGATGATGGTCACCAGCATCTGCTCAAATAATAAAAAAAAATCAACCTTTCTCTCAGTTTCCAGAGCTGAACGTTTTAGCCTGGAAGACAGCATGAAAGAGAAACCAGCACCATAAGAGGACTGGCCAAAGATCTCACTCTCTGTGTGTCACAACACTGTTGTGAAACGGTATGGAAGAAGAACAAGCCCCCAAATATGTACGTAGATGGAGATCCATTTCTGGTAATCTGAGGTTTGTCCGTTTTTGTCTTTTTTTTTAATTCCCGAAAAACCTTTTGAAATAAATATGCCCTTATTTAGCCTAAACCAAGATGCTGAGAGTCAGACTCTCAAATCCACCTCTTATTCACATTGAGACTTAAACAGGCATTGTTCTTTGGACATTATCGACCTTTGCGACCGCAATCTCATGTCGTTTACACAAAGCCAAGTTGTCTTCTCTATGTATATCAATGAAAATTCCCAAATGGAGAAGACTCTCCCATTGTAAATGTACAAATTATGAATAAAAGGGGAACTAGTGGCTATTACAAGCTTTTTAGTGTGAAATTATGCCACAGCAATAAACACGATGTTATATCATAATATTTAATAGATCTTTAGTAGGGGTGCTGCTACGTTTGGAAGGCACTCTGTGCTGGTCTATTTCAGAGACCAGTCTAGTTAAATCATGGACTCTGTTACTTCAAGACGCAATTTGTCTCTTTAAGTGACCCAGTAGTCGCTGCCACCAGCTGACAAGAGCCTCATGCCTCATATCAGCAGTACGCTGGAAGACCAATGACTTGGCCGCTGTCTGATAAACACACTTATGACGTCCATGTGGGTGGTCAAAGGTTGTCTCCTGGGTTTCTGGCAATAACAGAAAGTTAATCCCAGCTCTCCAGTTGACACAGTTGAAGTCGTTTCCCACAGTGTGGTGTAATAAACGCAGATGCACTCGCTGATCCCGTAAAAGAAAAATAGACCGGATAAAGTAACATGTCATACACACGTCACAGACGCAGCAGAGGAATGCTTTCAGTAATGATTTTGAAGCACTAAAAAAATGATAAATCAAGTGTTTTATCGGCTAAAGCTGCAAGATTAAGATTGACATTGATATTTCTCTTCTAGATTATACTTTTAAATTCACAAAGTTTTTTGGGGAAAAGAAAACCTAGAGGCTTCACAGAAACCTTGCTTCCAGAAGAATCAGTGTTTGAAAAGGTTTTTCGGCCATAAAAGTACGACCTTGACTTGTTAAATTTGTTTTGCACAGATTTGTTTTTGTTTCGTAATCTTGGATCCATTTGGCATAATGGTTCTAATTGGAGCCTTGTCTACAAATATATTATTAATTTTTATTTACCTGCAGTTAATTCAAAAATGTTATATGACAACAAACTTATACTGATGTAAAGTTACTCGCATTTCGACAGTTTTACCTCTCGCACTCCAAATAACAAACTGCAACAGAGTCATACTATTAATAGCAACATCTGATCATTTATATAAAAAGAGCAACAAATTCCACACTGAAATCTTACATAAGTTACAGGCGCCAGAACCCAAAATAGATTTCTGTGGCTGTTGGATTTCAACTGATCCCACAGATTTCTTTTTTTTTTCTCAGTTGATAAAGTGATGACACATTTCCTTGCAGCTTTTCCTAAGTCTGGAACTGAGAGAGAGAGAGAGAGAGAGAGAGAGAGAGAGAGAGAGAGAGAGAAAAGATGGAAAGTTTAACATTTCTAAATCTCTAAGCACGCAAAGCCGTAGCTTTGACATGCATGTAAATGCAGAGATTAAACAAAGATGCATTTATTTCCTCTTCATAAGATCACATCATATCCATGTGCGGTGGGGCCTCAAATCCCCTGCAGCAGCTCGGCTGCAAATTGAAAAGTGCACAAACTTATCCTGGGTTTTCTGCTTTGTGCATGAGTATCAATGTCAGAGGAGATTAATTGCTGTTGCAGCGCATCGATCGATTTCCCCTTTGATACCTCAAAAGTGTGTGCAGCTTCAGAGTGAGACACATTGAACTCTAGGCTCTTGACCGACACAGACTTCATTTGTATTTTAGGGGCAACTTCTGCTCAAAGCTGATAAGAGGAGAATTTTCCTCTTAACACGTTGCCCCATAGGATTAGGCTTTGTAATCTGCTATTCACTGATCCTCGAAATCATACTGTCTGCTCTAAAATCAGCTTACAGTGACAGTAACTGTTGACTGAGTGGTTTT